AGGTTTGTTGGGTTAAATATTTTATTAAATAAATTTAAAGGGCCTCCCTGGTGGCACAAGGGGTTATGTCTTAGCACCACGAAGCAATCTCTAGCCACTGCAGCACGAGTTCCAGTCCAGGCCAGGGAGCTGACCCACACGGTGCAGCAGGCCTCTCCTGTGTCACCCTCAGCAGTGTATTTCAGTCCATCTACCTGTTCTGCTTCCCATTCTGTCTCTGGTGAGTCCTCTGACACCCTGTACCTCTAGCCTGTACCCCATCTATTGTATGTATAAATAAATCTTTAAAAATTTTTTTTAAAAATCAAAGCAACAAAAATTAACCTCATCTTTTTCTTACCTTTCTAGTATGACTACTAGAACATGTAAAATTACGTATTATGTAGCTCAAATATCCAGGAGCCTATGCTATGCTTATGACTACTAGAACATGTAAAATTACGTATTATGTAGCTCAAATATCCAGGAGCCAATGCTATGCAAACCTGTGCTGCCTTGGATACCTGCTTCTTGTGGGCTCACACCTTGTAAACACTTCTAGTAGGTTCACAAAGAAACAGGAGCGGCACCACTGGCACAGAGGAACATGAGCCACAGTTCAGTTGAACTTAGATCAGAGCTCTGGAACCTTCCAAAGTCATGGCTGGAGATTGGTCCAAACCTTCACTAAAACAGATTCTCAGTAAAATGAGGGTTAAGTACAACTCTCCTATTTAAAACGCAGGCTGGGATATACAAGATCTTGGTGAGACTCCTTCAAAATGTAGTTTTTTCTGTCACCACAGAGCTAGATATTCAGAGATCTTCTTATGACTGGACCAAAATAGAGGAATGCAGGGAGCCAGGCCTCAGTTCCTGGAGACGGGGCTGTCCTCTCTCCGGCCTTGCTACTGAGCAGAGAAGGTACTGAGATCCAACATAAAAGAATGAATGGATTACACCACTGGCCTTACTTCATTCATGTGTCTGTACAACACACTGCCCACAGAACGCTGGGGCTGACTTTCCAAGGGAAGACCTTTCTCTCCCACTCTGGACTCTACCTCCAGCCCACTGCCCACACTTTCAACCCTCTCAAAGCATCACTACAGATGTTTACTTACAGAGGTCAACTTGAGCACATTTGAATGCCAGGCTATATTGGAGTGTTTTGCCATCCTAAAAAAGCAAAGGCACTGAACCTATGTCAAAACATCATCTGATTACTGAGTCAGTGGAGAGTGAAGGCTGATGCAATCCTAGATCTGGCGGCTAGAGCTGCTAGAAGCGACAGGAAGTGAGCAAACTCAGGCATTTGAGAAGAAAGCTATGAGACACAGTTGTCATGGCACCAGTGAAGTCTGAAGGCTGAAGTCACGTCATCAGATATTGATGGCCTGATTCCTCCACCCCAGGGCCCAGCAGACAGCAAGTACTCAGTACCTGTCGTTCAAAAGGAAGAACTGATTAAAGAATGCCAGGATCCAGGGGATGTCTTTTGGATCCTAGGGCCACCACATTCTGAGAAAGAAATGCAGCTCCTAACAGCTGCGAACTGGCCCAGCTCAATTTTCAGGCTGTAGTTGCTATGAGCTGATGTGGCATGGGCAGCTTGTGTGCTGTGTTCTTCTGTGGGGCGATTTCATAGAACAGTATCAGACCAGGCCATTCTGTGACTGAGAAAGACAAAAACCAGACGACCTGGCAGTCATCTGAACTCAGACAAAACATAAACATCGTCCAAGCCACAAAATAAGACCAGACATCCCCTCTTGACTGAAGAGCAATGGCTGTTTCTTTTCCTGTCTCAGCTTTCACAACGCTCCACTCTTACCTTCTCAACAAAAATTAAGATATCTGATCGCAGAATTCTGCTTCCTGCCATTTAATCCAGAGCAAAGCTCCTCTTCCTTGAACCCACCCCCAAAAGTATCAGACATAAGCCCAAACTTAGAAGTCCCAACACCCTCTGAGACACCCCATAGCTCTTCATCATTAGTAAATTCCTCATTCAACAGGTCAATAAAACCAACTTTGCTCAGCTAAGTGTTGTGGAAGGTTTGGTTAATGGAAACCACCCTTAGCTACAAACATTGCTTCCCGGCTAGTGCACATTTCCCCTGCCTGGAAAGGGGAAAAAGGAAACACGTGCAGGAAAAGAGAAAATGGTGGCAGGTAAAGGTGATGTCTACAAAGGGCCTCACTTCCCATGGTCCTTCCCTCGGGTGTATAATGTTTTCTTCCTCTAAAGCAAGCTCATCAGAAAACAAAAACTAGTACTATAGTATAGTAACCTAGATACTGTTGGTTACCCATGAAGACTGTCCACATAAAGATAAACCAGCTCACTAACTTCAGTGTTTGAACAAATTACTTGTGACACAAGTTATAGATGATGGGTGCAACGAAAATCACAAGCTATTCAGAACCCAAAAACCACCTGGATTAGGGGCAAGGCCCAGAGCCAGAGAAGTCAGGTCTGCTTTACAGGCCTGATCGGAACAAGTTGCTTAAACTGAGACTGATTCTTATTCTACAAATTAAAAGTAGCAATGCCATCAAGTTGCTGGGAGGTAACAGGCCAAAGGCCCAGTCCAGAACCTAACCACAGTAATGACAGGCAGGTACTGACAGCCAGAGCCACCTGCTAGCCACCATTTCCCCCTCAGGACCCATCTCCTCCCTGCAATGCTGAACTCTCTTCATGAAGCTCCTCCATCATTCTTCTGTCAGCCTGCCTGTCTTCCCCAACAGACTAGGGCATCTTGAGCACAGAGCAAGCTGGGGCACAGGCGGCATCTTACTCATCTCTGTCCTATCCTTGAACCCACAATTAGAACTGGCATAGGTTAGGGGACTCAGAAGTTTGAACAGAGTATCAAAACTTTGAGAACTCTAGCTAAAACTAAAATCAAATAGATTTTATTTAAATTCAAATGATGTCCCCCCCTTGGGAGGCTTCAAAAATGCAGCAGCTTAAACGTGGTCATTTACTTTTCCAAGTGCCACACATAGAGCCTGCCTGAGCCCCTCTGATGGATCACAGCCTAATGTTTTTTCTATCTTAAATGTATCATCCATGAGACCACGATTTAATAACAATTTTATCGAAGACACTAATAAAAACTGACCTCCAAAACAAACATTTATATGGGAGCCTAGCATAGCAAGAGTGTGTTAAGATTAAAACCTCATTAATATTTATAGGAACTACAGTTTGCTTACAGGTGCCAATGTCACTGAAAACTGCTGAAAATTTACATGTGATCTAGAGCGTGGAGGTGTTTGTCAGAAAGCTAGTTAACTTTGCTGTTTGCCTTTATCCCTGAATGTAATCCATACCAAAAGAGTTTTAAATAAACATTTCAAAGTAATTAGTTCTAGCAAGTTTTCTCAGCTAAAAATGATCACCCATTTTGTGCAAAATTTGCTTTGTCATCCAGGTCAAAATAGTCTTGAAAAATAAAACACTCCTAGTCATAGGTGTCCTATTCATGTGTAAAGTGATGATTTTTTAAAAAATATACCTTGAGACTGAAAAAGAGAAGAATTCAGCAGGGAAAAGAAAACTTCTTCAATGCTCAGTCTTGATTAACTTTTATTCTGGAACTTGATTTAGCAGGAATTTAGAAGCCAAGGTCAGTAACTGTAATCCAAGCTACAAAGAGGGCGAGCCCAGTGAAATGGCTACCCCACATACTTTAGAAAATCAGCAAGTGGTGACGAGGGTTCTCAGCAGAAACTCCCATCCAGTGGGACAGATTCTGGAGTTCTGCCTAGAATTATCACTTAAAGACGATTTACAGCTCATTGGGCATACTTATGTGAAGATTAGATTTGGGAGAAGCAAGAGGAAATTCAGGTACCCATTATTACTCATTAGTTCCCGTGACTAAAGGTCTGACTAACTTAAAACTTGGGGATATTTTGTGACTTTTCTTCCATCTGTTAGCCCCACTTAGCAAGGATAATCAATGTTTTATTTCACAAATGTCTTGGAACAAAACTGATAAAAAGATGTCTCAGAGGACCCTCCCTGGTGGCACAGCAGGTTAAAGCACAGCACTAAGAAGCTAAAGACACTCCAGTATGAGCTCAATCCCTGCCCCGACAATGATCCACATGGCGTGCAGACCTCTCCTGACCTACCCGCTGCTCCCCTCAGCAGTGTACTTCGTGGATTTGCCTGTTCTGCTCCCCGCTCTGTCTGTGGTGAAACCTCTCACCACCCCTGCGCCAAAGGCCTCAGAAATAAAGGAAATATTAATTATCTAATCTTTGGCTCAAGATTTCTTTGGGTATGAATTCCATTCATGTCTGGACCTGACATTAAGTTAGGTGAATAAAATTTATTCTGATTTTGTTGCAAAACTATGACACACTCTACAGAAAAGACAGAGTCAAAAATGGCACCAAACTGTTTTATTTCAATCCTCAACGATATAAAGAGGTGATAACTTCTGATGCCAAACCATGCAAGTAATAAAAAGGTATGGACAAATTATTAACAACAAAAAGACAATCGTTTAAAAGTATTTCACATTTCACAGCAGTGCTTTGGCAGTACTGGCAAGTATATCCGGCCAATAGCTCCCAACCACAGGGACTTAAATGATGCCCCTGATCTTAGCAAATGAACAATCACATTTCCTCCTGATAGTTGACACTTTTAGTCACTACACCCCACACTGCTCCACTCGCCAGATGTTTGTAAACCTCATCGTAAAATACGTAACAGGTATTGTGCGTGGTCAGAATGAAAACGAAAACAAAACAGAGTGCGGTAGACAGGTAAACAAATTCGTCAATGTTTCCAGTAAGGCATCAAGGAAATCACTGCTGGATGGGCCCTTCATTTCACCAGTTTAAAGAAAAGCTTTGATTTACGTTTCTCAGCAAACCCAATATTCAGAAGCTTAGCCAGCAGGCTCAAGTTAAAAGTTTAAAAGACAGTTCCCTTCTCTCTTTTTTTTTTTGTTTTGGTAAATGTTTTTTATAAAACATGAAATCAAGTTCTACTTCATAAAAAAAAAATGAGTATTTTAATAGTAAAAATATATATGTCTATATTTCTCTTTTTAAAAAGACAATAATAATACTTCATAAGACTAGATTTAGCCCCCCAAACCGGCCCCCGCCAGGCGTCACCTGGCACAGACACGTTAAGGCAAAGGCTCCTGAGAGGCACGTCCACCTGGCCACGGGCGGGACGCCAAGGCGCACATGCCAGCCTGCAGTCAGCAGAAGGGCTTCTCCCTCATGTTCACCGAGCCATCCTGCATCCCGAAGTAGACTCTCTCAGCCATGTTGATGAACAGGCCCGTATCCACCACACCTGCAGAACAAAGGAAGGGCTACGTTTCAGTTTCCCAAGGCGAGAGTCAGTGATCACAGGACGGGGCCGGTACAAGCAAAGACACTGGCAGCACTGGACAAATCTCCAGCCTCTCCCTCTTGCCTAACAGTGAAAGGAGATTCTTTTTACTTTTCCCAGCAAACCCATTCCCCCCTGCCACACTCACTGGAGCCTGTTCCTGCCTCAGGGCCTTTGCTCACATCATTGTCTGGAGAAGGCATCTTGGGATGCTATAGGGGTATCAGAGGACAAGCTGTCTTTTCAATGATGTCCTCCACTACTACTCTAGATCACCCTCACCCAGTTATTCGGGGTCATACGATCTGCCTTAGTTCTTCCCCAAAGTGCACTTAGATATCTGCAATGCATAATAAACCCAACAAAGGGCCACATCAAAATAAAAAACAAGTCTCCAAACCAGTAAGAAAACAGCCTAGTAGAAATTGGGTAAAGGATTTAAAGAGCTGCTTCTGAAATGAGGCTATTCAAAATGGCCAATAAACATTAAAAATGGTGTTCAAATCAATTAGTGAAATGGGAATGCAAATTACAACTATAAGACACAACTGCACACTCACCAGAATGAATACAATGATATTTGACTGGGATACAAACATTCCCACGCATTGATAGGAGTCAAACTAGCAAAGCTTCTATGGAAAATGTTACATCTTCTAAAGCTGAACATGCTCATTCCTGATGACCAGGCAATGGTGCTAGACACAACTGCTAAGCACAGGAATGGCCACCAAGACATGTACAAGAATGGTCACTGGCTCTCCCTGGTGGTGCAATAGGTTAAAGCACCGCATTATAAAGCTCTCCGAAGCCACTGCAGCATGAGTTCAATCCCTAGCCAGGGGGCTGACCCAAATGGTGTGGCAGACCTCTCCTGACCCACCTGCTGCTCCTCTCAGCAGTGTACTTTGTCAATCTGCCTGTTCTGCTCCCCACTCTGTCTCTGGTGAACCCCCTCACCCACCACATGTCTGGCCTATACCCCAATTCTGTAAGCACAAATAAACACAAATAAATCTTTAAAAAAAAAAAAAAATGGTCACAGCAGCACTTCCCCTAACAGCTAAACACTAGAAACCTCCATCAAGAGTAGATGGTAGGGGCCTCCCTGGTGGCACAAGGAGTTCAGTCTTGGCACCCACTGTCTCAATATCCCTGGCCAGAGAAGTGACCCACTTGGCAGAGCAGACTTCTCCTGTCTCACCTGCTGTTCCCCTCAGCAGTTTATTTCATTAGATCCACCTGTTCTGCTCCCCACTCTGTCTCTGGTGAATCCTCTGCCCCTGCAGAGGATAGCCCAGTTCTTATATGCAAAAAGAAATCTTAAATGAGTAGATGGTAGTCGGTCAAGAGTAGAAACAATTCACTTTTCCCCCACACACATACAGATATAATAGATACTCTTCCACTAGCTTTGAAGCTTTCGCAGTCTCTCTGCTCTGGGTGGAACCCAACAGGACATACAAGGGAGTGACCAGTCATGCGCCGGTCAGCTGTCCCTTAAGTGTCCACACATACACCAATGTGTATGGGCCAAGAGCAGAATGACAGATATAGACAGGAATCGTGCTGTGCTTCTCCTTCCTTATCTTCCTCCAGCAGCAAATACCACAATGGATGAGGCTAGGAAGCAAGCAATGCATACTGGTGATTCTGGTGGCTCTGTACTGACAGATACCAAGCCTCTCTGACCTACCTTGGGATACAGCCTCTGCTGACAGGCAGAGGGCAAAGTGTGGGAGAAATTTCCTCACAAGGACATCTCATTGTCTCAATAAGCCAAGGAAGGTCTGAAGAGGCGCAACAGAGCTACCTAGTGGGCACTGTGAGAAGTCCACCAGAGGAACAGCGCCACAGCGGTGAGCTGCTTCCTACCGGCCCCTGGGTCTGTCTGAATCATCATTAGGGGCAAATTTTGCACTCTGAAAATAGCGACCTCTATGTTTCATCTTCTTCCTGCTTTCTTGGCTCTTTAATTCTTCCACTAAAAATATGACACAAAGTGAGAGTAAAATAACTCAACTTGCCTTTTCTGACTTAAATCTGACAAAAAGATTGTCAACAGAAGACTGAAATAACAAACGAAAGGAATTAGCTCTTTACCTGGCGCACATGGGTAACTTCCAGCCTAGCATATGTTAACAGTGAAGACCCTATGCACCCTCCCAACAACCCAATGAGGGAGTACTAGAATTAGCCTCTTCTGTAGAGGAAGAAACTAAGATACAGAGATGTTTACAAGCTGCTCAGAGGTTGCACTGACAGAGCAGAGATCAGTTAGGATCCTTAGCCTGTGGCACAACCTACTCTTAGCCACTACTGCTCACCTGGCCTCACTTCCCCCATTAGCCACTCTCGTCTGCTCCACATCATGGAATGTTCCCAGTTAAGAATCTTAGTAACTATCTTATACAATTATCATAAGACTGTCTTCTTCTAATCCCTTCTAGTCCCAGTCTGGACTGAGAACTTAACTCTGCACTGTCTTCCATCCAGGGCCCCATCATTCCCTGGTTATCAGCTGCAACTGAAGCTCTCCACTGCTCCAAACGCACATGTCACACAATTCTTCAACATGGTTCTCAAGGAAATAAGGACTAAAACGTTAGGGTCTAGAAGCAGACAACCAAGGCTTCTATTGTGGTGCTGCAGCCATTGTGTGAATCATTTAACCTTTCTCAGTCAGTGCCTTCTTCTATATCTATCTCATTAAATGAGCTCAATGACACATTTTAAGCACAGAAAGAATTATCTGGGTTATGTTAGACTGATGCACAGGTCAAAAAGCACCTCTCCCCACTAAGGGAATTCCCCACATTCCAAAAGAAGCAACACTTTGCACCCTAGTCTCCTTGCACTCCACTAGAACTGAGCACACTCCATCTTATTCACCGGCTTCTACATGGCCACACACAATTTTCCCAGATTTACGTCAACTCTCCGGAACAGATTCCACATGGAACCACTGCCTACTTGTGGCACAGCTACCTGCCTGTGGTATGTGCCTAGTGAACGTGGGTGCACTGAGTCACTGACCCTAGTCAAAGGAATTGCAGTTGAGCTCCTGGAAGGAAGGGCTCAATGCACAGAGGGTGAGCGTATTTCAAGGTAAGCCCCCTCTGACACTACCCGCTCCAGGCTTATCCCAATGGAAGTGGGTCGTGCAACATGAAAACAACAAAGCTGCTAAGTAAGCCATACCTATTTTGGAGGAAAAGGTAAATGTGCACAAGTTAGAAACCCCAAACATCATATAAAGGAAAGTCTTCTTCCTAACCAAGTCTGCAAAAACCCCTGTCCATGCCTGCTGCAGCCAGGGAGACACGTCTGCTCGGTAACCTCCACTCATGTTACCTGGGATCATTTTGATGGTTGTGTTCACTTCACTCCACTTGTGCACCCGGTCAAACTTCCAGTCCAGGATAAAGTTCCCATTGTCTGTCACCACAGGACCCTAGAAGACAGTTTTCCACAGTGACCAAGGACATAGATACAGGTAGGCAGAGAGGGGCAGTGGAAGAGACAACCAAAAACAAGTATCTGAATTAACCCACCCCAACCAGTACACCTGCCTCACTACCTGCTTTCTAGAAGGTAGTGCTACGAAGGAGCTCTGGAGTCAGGATATGAGTCTTGATGCCACACAGGTACAGATCTCACAGGACAATTAATCCCTGTGACCCTAAGGTACCTCAAGTGCAAAAGGACAATGATACATACTTCATAAAGCAGCTTATGTACAGCCAATACAGGCCATGCATGTACCATGGAGGACTAATTCTAGTAGTAAAAAAAAAGCCTATCAACATGGCACAAAATTTTCACAGCTTTACAGTAAATGCTTTCAACAATGTAAACCTGAGTAATGCTATTTCACCCAGTACTTCCACTGATCAGGCAGTCCAACATAAAGACAAGAAGCAGGGTGGGGTGCTATGTCAAACAGGCAGGAGGTAGTTTTAGTGAATCAATCCAAAATTAAACAATGGCTCTGGGTAGATGCAAGCACTTAGGATCACAAATGTTGGCAGAACACTACAGTCCAGGCAGGAAAACTAGAACTCCCCTGCAAACCAGTCAAGAAGGTACAGGAGCTCACTTAGGAGTGCCTCAGAGCAGTATGCAAGGTGCCTGTCTACAGTATCTCCAGCTGTGAAAGAGAACCTCCACCCTCTTCTGGCATTTCAGTTACAAAGGAGTCAGAGCTCTGTACAACCACTACAGTTAGGACTGTGATTTAACAATCAGAAGACACTGGGACAAAAACACATTAAAATAAAAGTCCATGCGGTAGAGTTACAAGTAATTTGCTTTCTGTATTTTCTCAACTTTTTATATAGTTATACCTATAACCAAAATTGGTTTTTGGATTAATTCATTTTGCTTCAGTGTAAGAAAAACAAACTTCTGTGCAACCAACTTTAGCTCCATTTGGGCTATGCATCTAAGTAATATTTCTAAAGAAGAGTTCAAAAGCCCTAAGATATTCTACTTGCTCCATTTAGCCACAAAATGAGAAGAGGTGAGGAAAAAAGAAAGTAGTAACATGAAGCCTAAAAAAATCTTCTGCAGGAAGAGGGGTGGGGAGGAGGTATACAACAAAGCAGCATTTAGGGCTGTTCACTGGAATGGTCCAGGCCTTAGGTACAAAGACTAGAGCACCCAAGGTAAACCGGACCCCAAGGGACAGAAAAACAGTCATTCTCATTCCCACACTGGCACAGAGGATGTGCACTGCGTTAAGTCTGAATATAGAAATAAAGCCAGCACTCTACAAATAAACAACCCATTTAAAAGGAAGTAAATAAAAGCTGACTATGCAATCTAGGTGCAGAGGGCCTATGTGAGCCAGAAAGGCAGACAAGCACACTGAGTCTCTAAAGTGCCCTCCAGAGACTTCCCAGTCACATACTGCCTTGTTGACGGCCATTCGAAGTTCAATTTCACCCCCAAACTTCTGAGTCACAGCTCGGCTCACTGGAACATAGGCCATTGGGATGACCTCGATAGGGATTCCCTTGTGCCACTGATCCCCAAGGTTCTTTGAATCTTTCCTAGAAAGAGTACAAAAGAACAATCAATGTAAAGATGCTCAACAGTACAGATAAACACCAAATTCGGGAACGGGGTTAACTACATACAGTGAGAGGGTCCAGGGAGCAAGGAGGGACAAGTGTACAGGGTTTTAAATATACTGGCTGTGTTTTCCTTTGAAAAAAGAATCCGAAGTAAATCTTACAATCTGTGTGTTCAGCTTGTGAATATACAGGTATTTATTTTTTTCCCTACAGTGTTTACTTTCTTCCTACAGCTATTTTATAAGCAAATACATTTTTTAATTAACATGCTCAGCCAGCACAAGTACATTCTGCTGGACTTCCTGAAGGAGAATCCAAGTCTGCTCAAAGAGCGTCCCTAACACAAGCCTCCCGTGTGGCAATCCCTGACCTCAGAGGGCATGCTGAGTCACTGCCTGTGGCAGGGTTCATCCTGCTTGCTGAGGTTCCCTGTGAGGGTCAAATGAGTGATATGTGAAGACATGCTCTATTAACAAGGGTGACAGGATACTGCCTCCTCCTCCCTGTGGACACATGAAATAGAAACATCTGTCTTCAGTATGAAGCAAAACAAAAGATAGCTTTAATCCCTAAGCATCAGAAAGTCTCAAAAGGTTATACAGGGGTCTCTCTGGTGGCACAGGGGTTAAAGTTTCAGCACTACCAAGCTATCACCAGCCACTGTGGTATGAGTTCGATCCCCAGCCAGGGAGCTGACCCACATGGCTCAGCAGATGTCTCCTGTCTTGCCTGCTACTCCCCACTCAGCAGTGTCCCTCAATAAATTCACCTTTTCTGCTCCCCACTCTGTTGCATTCTCTCGAGCCCCTCACCTATGGCCTACACCCCAGTTCTTGTATAAATAAATCTTAAAAAAGAAGTCATATAATCCCTTCCTTTATTTCCTCCTCTATAAAATGGAGATGAGTTCTGGGGTCTAATCTGTCTCCATCAGACATTTCAGAACACAGGGCACTGTACCTGAAATCAGCAATGACAATGAAGCGACTAGCATAGCCAGCCACAATTTTCTCCTGGGTCAAGCAGCCTCTGGAGATGAGAAGAAACAAATAAACACAGGATTAAGAAAAACGCAGGGAACTAAGGTCAGATACAGGAAACCCAAATCCATTTCATTCTGGCACTTTAAGAGAAATTCTATTTTAAATCCTTGAAGGGACATATCTAAGCCACCATGTTATACAATGGAGTGAACCCCTCCTAAATTCAGTAAACCCCTCCAAAGTAACTGTATTTGGAGTTGGGGCCTCTGAGGAAGAGATCAACAAGGTTTATTAAGGCTGATCTGATAGGACTCAAATGCTTATAGAGAGAGACATCAGAGAGTCACTTGCTGCAAGCCTCCCGCTGCCACATGAGGATAGTGAGGAGAAGATGACTGCCTGTTAGCCAGAAAGAGTCCTCACAGAAACCTCCCTGTTGACACCTTGATCTTGACGTTCTAACTTTCAGAACTGGGAGAATTTCTCATTTATAAGTTTCTATTGTTTAAACCATCCAGTCGATGTTATTTAATTAGTAGCCCAAGCTGACTAAGACATGTTGCTTATAGTAATGAGACTGTGGGAGCATCAATATGTGTCTAGAAGAAATGTGGAAAATGGAAAACCGTCCCCAGTCCAGCTGGGCCCAGTGCCATCCAGGATACCAGTGAGCGGATGTGAGCTTCGCACATATGCTTCTCTATAACTTGAGAAGGACAAGTCTTGAACAACTTGCCCTAGGGGATATTGACAGTCTGAGGTAATGGAGAGAGCACATGAGATTTTTTTTTAAAAATTGTGATATTCCAGTTCTGCCTGAATGTAAGAAACAACAGGATTTCACCTTTCTCCATTCATCATTCTCTACTTGCCCAAATCAACACTCAAGATCACATACTGAGGCCTTCAGACCTAACAACCTAGTCCTAGTAATGTCAGGCTAGATTTAAAGTTTGAACCAGTAGAATGCAAAGAGAACCTGTTAGAATGAATAAGCTCAATGAAGACTGTGACCTGCAGCAGGAACAACAGGCTGGCTCTATGGCCACATGTATCAGCATCCTCATGACAATCTCAAGTACAAGTCACAGCAGTAATTTGTTCTGTATTCCATTCTGCTTTGCTAAGGATTAAGTGGCAGAAACCCTTTAACGAGAAAGTTCCCACAACACTCACCCACCGCCCTTGATGAGATTGAGGTCAGCATCTACTTCATCAGCACCATCGATGGCGAGGTCAATCTGTGATGGCGGGGAGAAGTATAACAACCACTAAGGCTTCTGAGGACACTGTGCTAACCCTGAACACCAGACCCTCAGGTGCTCTGATAGGTATGTACATTTATTCCCATTTAACAAATCAAGAAGCTAAGATTCTGAAAGGTCGAGTTCTTCTGCTGGAGTCACCAGTAGAAAAAATACAGGGCTGGGTTCAGCTCATGCACGTGACATTATACTCTTTTCCCATTGATGGGCTTCTTGTGAACAAACTGGAATTACTGACAGTACATAATTCAAATATGAGTGGTATCACCCCCAAGAACAGACATAGAGGTATCTATTAAATTTGTATTAAATTTTCACTGGGGGAAGTTGGAGAACATTAAAGAAAAAAAACAAAGAGTGATGCAGAAGTTTGTACTAACAAGGCCAAAACACGGGCAACTTTGAGCAGACAGAAATTAAAGTATAAAGTTGACATGTCTGATGTGATCAGAACTGGAAATTACCAGAACTGAGGCACCCCCACTAATAACTCTACCAAACACCTGAGTTTTGCATACTTCCTTATCAAAAAACTCTACCGCCAGCTCCTAAAGTAGCTGGGTTCAATCATCTTTCAAAATTCAAAATCAAGGAAAGTAGGTATTTCCCATCACTCCTGGTACTCTGCCTGTGTTTCATGGCAGGGCTTGGGCACCAAATCTGTTACAAGGCAGGGAGAAGGGCACCCATGAACCCTCAAACCTGCCTGCTCTAAATAGGTTCTGCCATCCACCACATCAAGACAAAACATGTTAAGACTTTTAATGGAAAGAGCTTTTAATACAATCTGTGCAATCTAGCAAATATGAAGAATACAGTTTCTAAATCTAACACCCAAAATTACCCATCCCCTTGTAGGTAAAAGTCCACCCAAAAGGCCCAAAGCAAGATCTGAAAGCCCACCACAAGTCTAGAGCAACTGCTGGCAGAGACCCATAAAAAAGGGTCAGAAATGGCCAACAAGTCTGGGATGAAAAGGACAAAAATCAAAATCAAGAGAAACACTGCCACAGTTGACCACCACACAAGTCTCTCACCTGCATCTGTTTCACCCAGTGCAGGACCAAGAAACAAGAAAGCTTCTTCACATGTCTCTCTGTTCCATGTGCCTCCCTCAGGTCTCCTTCTGGCTCCCTACTCTACTTCCATCCTCTTCAGTCTCCTCTCCAGATTATTCTTCTCCCTGCTCAGCTCCACCCTCCTTCTGGGTGGGGCAGGGAACCTGGAACCTCCCCTTTTCCTGGGGACCACCCTGTTACACAAGGACAATATGGGAGATTCAAATGTGGATTTTTAAAACAGCAGCATTAAAAAAAGCTCAGAAGGATAAAAGACTTTAGGATACAAATTCGATTCAAGCTGAAATCCGAAGTTGCTTGCTAGGTGCTGAATCCTAGAATGCTTCATTGGGTGCCCATTGTCCATTCTTTTATGGATGGACCTGTAGCAGGGTAGTCCCCAAGAAAAGGGGAAGTTCCAGGTTCCCTGCCCCACCCAGGAGGAGGAAGGAAGCAGGATGGAGAGCCAGGAGACCTGAGGAAGAGACATGGAGCAGCAAGCATGTGATGCAGAGACCGTGCTTGTTTCTTGGCCCTGGACTGGTTGAAAGAGATGTGGGTGAGAGACCCAAGGGAGGTTGACTATGGCAGTGTTTATATTGATTTTGATTGTGCTCTTTTCCTCCCAGACTTGGCTGTCATTTCTGACCCTTTTCTATGGGTCCCGGCCAGAAAATGCTTTAAGTCTGTGATGGGCTTTTAGACCTTGCTTTGAACCAAACCCTTTTGGGTGGACTTTTGCCCACGAGGGGATGGGTAACTTTAGGTGTTTGATTTAGAAATTATACTCTTTGTCTTCCATATTGTATACTCACTGTATTAAAGTTCCTTTTCTTTAAAGTCTTATGTTTTGTCTTGATGCAGTAGATGGCAGAACCTATTTAGACCGGGCAGGTTTGGGGGTTCAGTGGTGGCCCCCCTCCCTGCCCTGTAATAGACCCACTGTCTGCATTTACAGCCTGCACTGCTTCCCCCTCCCCTCCTTAGGCCCCCCAGGTTAGCCCAAGGGCAGGGCTGTACCATGGTAATGCTGAGGCCTGGGAAAGTGGTGACCTTTTCTGTCTGGGTGCCAGGCTTACTCTGCTCACAGCTGATTCAGCCTGTGTCCTGGCTCTGCCCACACAAATCTCCCAGTAATTCTACTTGTTAGTCCTACTAACTCCTCAAGGCCCATGTGTATACCATGATGACATAGTTACCAGACCACCATCAAGCCCCGCACTCCCAGTAGGTTTTGAAGGTGCTGTAACCCTGCTTCACTCTTCCATCCAGCATGGTGTTCTCCCCTCCCCCACCATGCATCAACACAATCCTCTCACTCAGCCTCTCACTAATCACCCAGCTGGTCCGGGCACTGAGCACATATGCCCACGTGGTTGCCTAGAAATTCATCTAACGCCTCTAGAATGTAATTTCCTGCCTCTGCCACCTAAATTTCAGAGCTTCACTGAAACATTGCCTCTTCCAGCAAAACCTTTCTAAGGAGAACTTGTCTAGAGGCAGAAGTACTAACTTCAGACTCAGGCTCTACCGCTTACCAAATGCATGGCTTTAGGCAAATGGTTCATCTTCTCTGTGACTTTTTCACACCTGTGAGATGCGATAATGGTAGCATCTCAAGACTTGGAGATGAACATGGCACTTGGCACAACAGTAAGTACCTAGTGAGGGCTTGGTAAGTGCTCACTATGAGCTACTAACCCTCATGGACTTTCAGTCTCCTCTGGAAGTGTTTGATCCTTTCACCATAAAATGGCACTTTAATCTCTTAATGTTGTTGGCTGTCTCAGATGATCATTTCTTCCTTTCACTTACAGGTAAGCTCTGTGAGCAGGCTCACCCTTACACCTCTGCACAAGGACCCCAGGAAGCCATGAAAGCAGCCTGGGCTCGTCCAATTCCTGTTCCCAACCCACAGATACACACCCAGGACTGCACTAGACACTAACAACCTTTCCACTTGTCACTTTAGTCATGTTTAATAATCCAGATTCCAGGAAAAAAAGATAACATAACTAAATGACCTTTCTCCCAACTCAATGTGACATCCATAGCCCACGAACAAGGGACAGCCATAAAGAGAAGGGAGGACATAACAGCCCCACTCTCACCTCTGGGTGTCGGTCCAGGTCACTGAGAGTTAAGCCATACTGCAGGATAAGCTGGCGGGCCTAGGGGAACAGGAAAGAGCACTTCGCATCAAAGCAGAACAAGTGGAAGCATCATGAGGATTCCTGGGAAGCTCACACTGCTGACTTTAATACCCTGACCCTGTCTCACACCCTCCCCTGTGGTTAATGGCAGGAGAGTGTCACCAGGTTACTCTACTGTCACCCGGTCATCACCACCTCCTGGGCCTGAATGAGGGAACCCAAAAATAGAAAACTTTTCCTGAAGGCATGTCTTGAATATATTTTCTACTTAAAGTGAAAAGCAGAAAAGGTACCAGAAGATCTCAGTTCTAATCATTAATAAACTAGGTCTCAGTTCTAATCGTTAATAAACTAGTCAAGTGATCTCTGGTAAGTTTTCTCAACTATAAAAAGCTGGAGATGTATGAAAAGACAGTGTCAATTTTCAGATGCAATCTCCCAAGACCCTAGGAATAAAACCAAAACTCTGGAATTTGCAATAACTGGCTTTATTTGGATCCTGATTCAAACAAACTATAGAAAATAGTTTTTAAGGGATAAAACAATAGCAGATTGTTTATTGAATGCTATTCAAGATTATAGTAATTTTTTAGTATTGTGGAGATGTTTAAATATCTCCCTATTTTTCAGAAAGACATACTAAAATACATACAATGAAATTACACTATGTCTACCAAAACCTATACAATGCAATGTTACTTCAATTTAAAAAGAAACTATACTATGTAAAAGGAGAAACTATACGATGCCTGGGATGTCTTTCAAAGTAACTGAGGTAGAGACTGGGGTACAGATAAAATTGCCCATGAACTGATAATTGTTGAAACTTAGATAGGTATATGGATTTTATTATATTGTTCTTTATTCTTTTTGAAGTTTTTCATAATAAAAAGTTAAAATAAACTGACTGGAAAAGCAAGTTAAAAAAAAATGACTGTTCTTATTAAAGTAAAATATATAATGAAAGGAGAAAACAAAAATAATATGGCTGGATTTGATCTCAGCTCCCAAATTTCTTCAGAAGTAGCACTTGAGACCCAGGGAGTAAAACAATAGTGGGAATGTCTGAAATGCAGCCTCCAGGATTAGGCAGTGATCCCCACCCACAGGGCTCAGGGTGGGTCTGTGGGACAGCAGAAGGGATGCAGAGGACAGTGCTGAAGGTTGTGTGTGGGTGGGGGCATAAGGAGAAGGGTGAGGAATAGTGGGGAGCTCTAGCCTGACTCTACCCCCCAGCCCCTCCCTTCTCTCTCTACCTCCTCTTCCTCTCCCTTCTTTTATCACACATAATGTGACACTAATAATGCTATTAACAATAATTACTTTTCTAGAGTCCTCTGAGGTCTTGGCATTTCCTCCTCTGCCTGAAATGTCCCGTGCCTCCTGCCAATAATGTCTCTCAGGCCCAACTCAATTGTCAACCTTTCCAGAAAGTGCCCCCAATCCCTTAAGCAAAGGAGTCCTTCCATCAACAGGCTCTCCAACTCTCTCCCCGTTCTGCCTGGATTACTCACCAGTCCCTTGCTGACAGCCCTGCGCATACAGAACAATCATAATCACAAGTGGCATGGGCTTCACCTTGCCTGGGTGTTATGGGCAGAGAGGTGTTGCCCTAAGGAAAGACAAACTGGCGTTCTAATCCTGCAAATACAGTCTGGCTCACCTCAGAGGGTGAGCCCTAGTCCAACATGACTGTATCCTCAGATGGGGAAACTTGGACACCAAGACAGATGAAACCAAGGAAAGGAAAATACCTCGAACAGGAAAGAGAGAGATCAGGGAAATGAACCCAAAGCCAAGCCAAAGCCAAAAAAACACCAAAGTTTGATTAGTCTGGTTTATTTCACAGTCTCCAACAGAATCGACAAGTTGATCTGGGACTGTCCAGTTTGCAAAACTCAGAGACAGTAAGTTTCTGTTTTGTAAGTCACTCAGTTATGTGATTTTTTGTTGTTGTTGTTGTTGTTACAGAAACCCTATAAAATGACTATACTGAATTCAACACAACCGTCCTAGCCTGGAATATTGCCTGTCACTGGCTCAGTAGCACTGACAGTCTCAGATTGAAAGCACAATCTTTTTGACACCAAGTTACTCCAAGCTCACAAGCTAAGGGATTTCCTGAGGGTGTGGAGCAAATACCCCATAGTTTCCCTCTTCTAGCTCTTTGAAGTACAGGAAACAGAAGGACCAGCCTCTGCTTCTGGGGGAAGAAAAAATAAAAAAGAGCAGGAAACAAAGCCTTTCTTTCAGTCCAATAGCTGGTGCCCCGATGCCACTTGTGATTACAGGCAGTGGATGGGGCAAGCTAAGTAAGGGTGCCATCTTTCACAATGAAATCTGAAACTGCATTTTCCCATTAACCTCCTAAGGACATATACCAAGAGCCAGAGTAAGCAATAAACACTACAGTTTACTTAGGGCTTATACCAGATCTGACTTTCAAATGCCTTTTCCCCCTTCTTTTAAAAGCTCTTAACTTTATTTAAAAGGAAAATCTACAAAACTCCTCCAAAACCCTATAGGTTTACCTATGTTAACAGGAGGGTATCAAATATTTCTGTTTTTCTTTCAATCATTTCAGGAGACTGCATCTGGTTAAATTTAATGCAGAGTATTAAATTTAATACTTTGGGCATGATGGGAAAAAAACCAGCAACTCTGAACACCTGTGAATGACTCCTCACCTAAGGAACCAGCAGTGGTAGCCATTTCCCATTCTGCACACACAGTTACTGACAACCGCCACTCAACAGATGTAGGTTCAGAGCAAACAATCTTAAACACACAAGATCAAACTCCTAAGTAATGATAATTTGAACACCTGTATTTAGTTCAGCTCTTCCTAAAAGCCTCTCTAAAGCTACAAAATCAAAAAGAGGAGAAAGAGCAACTTTTAAAGTTGGGCCTGTGTTGGGCAGTGGCAAATGGCAGAAATAAGAAACAGAAATACAAATCCACTATTGGAGAAAATGAAAAAGTAATCAAAATAAAAACAAAGACCCTCCCCAAAAGTTCAGGACTCAGTGGCACTGTGAACTTTAGGAAGTGGACATGACAGCAGGAATAAAAAGAAGATGGGCTAGAAAGCTATTTATTTAAGAAACTGTTACATCTACATATCCTTCTCCACTACTTCCAAACCAGCATGTTTACTCTCTGGAGAAAGTCAAATAGCAGGTGTCAGGACGGGGCTGCCAGGCAGTTCCAGACTAGAGTACTGCTCCCGTGAGTTCCTGCAGCATAGCAGTTACTCCCAAACGCAGAGCTGTAAAGGAGGACTATTTATTGCAACTTCTGAGTCCATGGATTAACTGGGAAGACTGATTTGGGCTGGTCGGTGTTGGAAGGTCTCACTCACACACTTGGAGCCATCCCCCAGAAGATTAGCCTGGGCTTGTTCACATGGTCGCTCAGTGCTTTTAGGATCAAGAGGGCCAAACTCAATGCAAAAGCACTTTTCAAGCTTCTGCATACCATTTGGTCACACTTTATTGACAAAACAAGTCATACAATCAAGCCCATAGTCAAAGGTATTTCTTGGATTTTAAAAAATCTGGTATATATACAGGGGAATACTACTCAGCTATAAAAAAAAAGTTGAGCTCTTGCAACATGGATGGAATCTGGAAGGGTCAATGCTACGCAAAGCAAGGCAGGGGAAAGACAAAAACCAGATGGTATCATTTATATGTAAAATGTAAAGAAACAAAATAATGGGGCAGATTAAAACAAGCGAACAACACTAGAAAATCATGGAATCAAGACTACAAAGGGGGAGGGGGAAAGAGAGAGAGAGGGCACAATGGACTATCGTGGAAGGCTGTGGGTGCCTTGGTGGTGTGTAGAATGGTAACATGCATTTTAGCAGGTATGGTCCTATGGTTCTGCATCACATGAAATGCTGTAAACGAGTGCTCTCTTAAAATCACCAGTAAGACCTCAGGGAGGTGAGAAAAAAGTAAATCCATAAAACAAAACCAAAAAATGTTGGAGGAAAAAAGTTATCTGAAACTATGAGAGCAAAGAAAATATGAAAATGAAAAATGAGAGCAAAGCAAGCTCAACAAACAGGTTAGGAAAAAACAAAGCTGAAAATACAAAAGAATAAATCAGAGCAAAAGCACCAAGAACAATGCAGAATTATCTACTAAGTAAAGTGACTCGGAGAGACTAAAATAAAGACATTTCAGACATCTAAAGTGTCAACAAAAATGTGTGTCCCATCTACCTGAAGGATGTGCTTCAAAACTAAAAAGAAAACAAAACAGGGCCCCCCCTGGTGGCGCAACAGGTTAAAGCAGAGCACTGTGAAGCCGTCTGCAGCCACTGCAACACGAGTTGGATCCCCCCCCAGAGGGTGACCCACATGGCACAGGAAGCCTCTGTCTCACCCGCTGCTCCCCCAGCGGAGCACTTTGTGGATCTGCCTGTTCTGCTCCCCACTCTGTCTCTGGTGAAGCCTCTCACCGCCCCTGCCCCTCTGGCCTGTACCCAATTCTGTATGCATAAATAAATAAATCTTAAAAAAAATTAAAAACAGGCCCTTCCTGGTGGCGCAGCGGGTTAAAAGCACAACATGAGAATCTAAAGCCGCTTCCTCATGAGTTTGATTCCCGCCTGCCCCAGAGGTGACATGGCGCGGCAGACCTCTCCTGACCCGCCCGCTGCTACCCTCAGCAGTGTACTTCGTTGATCTGCCTGTTCTGTTCCCCACTCTGTCTCTGGTGAAGCCTCTCACCGCCCTTGAGCCTCTGGCCTGTACCCCAGTTCTGTATGCACAAAATAAATAAATCTTTAAAAAAAAAAATAAAAACAAAACAAAAGTTGGTATAGGAAAACAGAACCAAGAAACAGTTTGATTCAAAACAGGAGAAAGGAGAAAGAAATGTCTTGACTGGGAAGGGGACTTGAGACATCAGCCCAGTGTAGCCACGACAGCCTGACCAATCCCAAAGACTCAGAAAGACTTGTCTGAAAAGAAGAAACTGATGGAGCAGAATACCCACCATGTTGTAAAGAAGTAAGACTTTCCCCTCTGGTAAAGCCTGGGGCTGGATTAGAAAGTAGCTCACAGACCACCGAGTAAATGAAAAATCAAAGTTAACATTTACTAACTTATGCAAAGATAAGACAGGTAGAGAGGAGTCATCACAGGACATTATATAGTTCAGCTACATGTTAAAATTCTGTTTGGTATTAACAATTACCAAAATATAGTTGTACTAGAAGGTTGAGAGAGAAGTTATGTGTGTAAACTGTGGAAGCAAGGAGGTAAAAGATAACCAAATGTTCCTCTTCTAGCCATCTAGTCAGTGTAGAGTTACTACCTAAAGTTGAAAAAAAAAAAAAAAACTTTATTTAGCAAGGAAAACAGGTTTACTCCAAGGACAGTAAAACAAAAATCTGATAAATTAAAAGTTGGCTTTTTTTTAAAATCATTTATTTATTTTTGTATAGAATATCTGGGGTGTAGGTCACAGGTGTGGGGGCAGTGAGAGGATTCACCAGACACAGAGCGGGGAGCAGACTAGGTGGATCTACTGAAATACACTGCTGCGGGGAGCAGCAGGAGAGAGAGGAATGGTCTGCTGCGTCATATGTGGGTTAGCTCCCTGGCTAGGGACTGAAATCAAGCCCTGGCAGTGACTGCTGATATTTAACTCTTATGCCACCAGGGAGGCCCCAATAAATTTTCAAAGCCTGTCTATCTAAAAAATGTTGTCAAGCGTGGTGGAAAAAGGGTGTAGTGGTTAGTTTTATTTAAAAATAAGAATGATTTGACTCTTCAATCCATGTGTACATATAGCTAATTAGAAATATGCGCCAATATCAATTAATTCATTAAATAAGAAGTAAAAATACTAAATGATTAAGTCACTTGGCAAAATTAGACACTAAGCTTTTCAAAAACCAAGAGAACCTATCATACTCATTCCAAATTCGCAAGCACCTCCTCAGGACAACAGGATTTCAAGGCAAGAAGAGGGCGATGTAAAACAACTCATTTTCTAGTATGAAGCAGAAATTTCAGTATTATCTTCAGGCCCCTGGGAGTCCCCAAGAAACTTAACTTCAAAGTAGCTGTGACTGCATGCCCTACTCTAACACACTATCCTGCTTACCTGGAATCCCTCCACCACCCCTACTCTGGCAAGCTGGGACACATACCTGGTTTACCTAGAACCTCAAGGCCCCTTCAACCACTGTCTTCCTTCACCAGAGTTCACTCCAGGTGGCAGGGCTTTAGTCCCCAGGCCTAGTTAAGATTTCTAATACCCCATTGTCCAAAACTAAGCCCCAGTCTCCACATCCTTTACCCCAGTTCACAAAACATCCCCGACAAACCCCTGCCCTCAATGATCAGATGAGGGTTGGGGTGGGGCTATCTGAGCTCCTCTCTCCTTCCTCTTTCAAAATCCACCCTTCCCTTTTCTTTCATTTTATAATGCAAACATTTGACATGAACTCAAAATACTGCACTTACATTACTGACACATCACTTGATACCCTTTAGCCTGTTTTTCAATCTAAAAATGGAGATAAAATTCCACAAGAGACACAACCATCTTACACGCTTCATCATGCCTAGTGCCAAGATGGATGCAAGCAGGCACTGGGTGAATAAGTGAATGCATCTAAAACCACACTTCTGAGCAGCAATCAATCACCAGTAAATAAACTCCCACCTAGAACCATCCTGATGCACAACTCAAAGCCACACTTCCATGTCCTCAGGGACCTAGAAGATTCAGCAGCAACTATCAAGATGCAAAAAAGAAAAAAAAAAAGAAAAAAAGACATACCTGAAAGGAAGTGGGAATACAGACAAGGTTCAGATTTTCTTGTTTGACTCGTTCAGCTGTGGAGACAAAAGTTGTGTTGGTTATTTTTTCATTCTTTTCACTCTATTTTTCTTGTTTGTGTACATTCACTCAAATCCAAGAGAAAAGGACAGTTCACTGACAGCTTCCTCTCCTTCTGTGTCCCTACCCTTGGTAGGAAGTTGGTGAGCATACATCACATATTACACAAGACAGGAACACTGGAACGCCTGAGGAGGCTTAGGGTCTCACAGAAAGCAATGGCATTGTTTGTTGTTAGTACGTGCCTGACGATATTCAAAGAACTTTGTACACAGGAACTATTTCAAACCTAACAACCCTAAAATAAGTTGTTATATCCATTACACACATGAGGAAACGGAGGCACAGAGATGTACTGTAACTGGATTAGTGCACAGCTATCGGGTGGGAGAGGCAGTCTAGTTCCATAGTCTTTAACTACTTCCCTATGCTGGCTTTTATAGGGAAAAGCTAGAGCTTGATTTTGACTTTCAGTAGAAAAATATTATCGTATGTAGGCCGAAGAGGGCAGTTAAAGAATGTTTATTCACTCATTTTGGAGTTGTACTTTTCAGGAAAGCTTAATTAAAAAAAAAAAAAAGTTGTCATTAAAATTTCGTATATTTTCAATCACTAGATGTGCAATTTCAGAAACTTGGAGGCCCCTATTATGAAATCCATAGTTATTCCTTTGCCCTGAAATCCTGCACACACTCAGGGCTAAAGTAGAAAGGTGTGCAATACTGAAGCCCTTGTTAGGCCAATAAGAAGGCTCCAGAAGCTCACACCACCACTACAACCACTCCTTAAAGGCCAAGTATTCCTGGACTTTGTCTCCTGAGCACTGCCCCTTGGCACCTAGAAGAGATCTGCATTCCAGCAAGTCCCTCCTCTGGGCTTTGTTCTCAACAAACAGCAAGGCAGTAAAACCTGTTGAGCGGCCACCTGAGCTGACAATTCCTGAGACTCTGCTAAGCACTCAGACTCCCCAATCTGAATGAAGTCAGCACTGACAGAAGGCAGTCATCAATCTGGGAAACTCATAACCACCCCAGAGTCTTGGGCAGGGCAAGCCTGTGCTGAGCTTGATTTGTTAGCCTTAGAGTACCCAAGGAAGCCACAGGCTTTGGAGAGGTTGCACAAACATGGGCCCTATGATACTTAAAATTGAGCTCTTCCCCATCAGCTCACAAGAGTAAACAAACCTGTGGTAATGCATGAAGACACATCTGAAAAATCCCTCTCTTAAAGCAGGCAGTCTCCCCAACTCCATGCCAATGGAGTCACCTAGGCAGGGACCAAGCCAGTACCCCACTTACACATCTCCCCACCATCCACACAAAATACCCAGTGGAGAGCCCAAGAACATACCAATTCGCTGCACCGCATGGACAATTGTAGAACCACTTCCAATTCCCAGTACTTGGTTATTCTGCCAAGAAAAGGGGAGTAAAAAGCAAAACTTAACACCATCTCTTACTCCTTCTTCAGCCAACTTCCTAGAGTTATAAAATTACAGTGGACCCTGGAGTAACAGAGGCCTGAACTGCGACAGCCCACTTCTACAGATGTTCTTATAAACAGACAACTAAAACTTACACAGCCTGGATAAACACAGTACAGTACTATAAATGTATTTTCTCTTATTATTTCTTAAATAACTTTCTTGTCAAGCTTTATTATAAAAAGACTGTATATGATGCATATAACATACAAAACATGTGCTGTTTATCATCTGTAAGGCTACCGGTTAATATTAGCCTATTTGCAGTGATGTGGATTTCTTACCATGAGGCAGGAATAGAAATGGGGCACCAACCCTAACCCGAGTTGCTCAAGGGTCAACTGCATTAGGACCAGCAGTTCACCAACGTGGGGCTCAAAATTATTTTATCCTTGTGCCCAGTGGCAGTTTATCAGCAGAGATACTCTCCTTTTACTTCTGACACTGACATCACCAGTTCTTCCTACTGAACGATAATGAGGCAAATTAAAAATGCTGTTTATCTGAGCATAAATCCATTCAAATCAGGCAGCATCCAATCTAGCAGAAAGAAACTGTACAAAATGAATTTTGTAATACGAAGGGAGTAGGAACAACAATATCTTATACTAGGCAAAAAAAAAAGGGGGTTGTTATTCTAAGGCCATGTTCTTTTAGGGGCATGGCAGGGGTCTATCAGGCCATGAGTGAGATCATCTCACTCATACCACACTGGTTGGATGAGTCCTGATTGACTGGATTAGGATACCATTTCCGGACGACTGGTAAGGATAAGTTAGCTTCAGTGTGAGGATTTAACATAAGCAATCCCACCTTGGGCCTATGGATTTATTTCAACTAAACTCCCTACATCCTGTCAGACAATCAGTATGGCTTACTTACACCGTATAGTCAGTTTCACAAACATGGCCTGCACATGAGCTCTGAAACATTCCTGGCAAAACCCACAAAACTGGGGGTGAGGGGGAAGCTCAGTTCTGTATCTGGAAATTCAGTTTCTTTTCTGCAACAGAAAAGGAAGGAAAAGGCCAAGAAAAAGCAACAGAACGTGGCACACCCTAACAGCAGAGAGCAGAGGTTTTGGCTTAACGCAAACGTAACATCCAGAAGTAAGAAGACCAATCGCAGGTTGGTGACATCACAGGGAACCTCAGGAACACATTAGGCCCACCACCTAGAGCTCTCTCAGTGTGAGTGGAAGAGGTGAGCGTCTGACACAACCATGAAATAACATGCTACATCAGATCTGTCCAGTTGGTGCACAGTTTGTACACAAGCCTGCTTCAGAAAATATGGGAAGAACAACATGAGAAACAGTCTTCATCCGCAAGAGGAAGGATTTGTAATAAATGTAGAGTATTTCCTGAGTACAAACGCCAAGGAACAGGAGTCACACGCAGTGATGCTACCTTAGGAAAGGGGGAGGGTACCTATGAGTAGACCAGGGGTGGAGCAGGAGTCCAACCCAGGTCAGTTAAACCACAAACAGCAAAAGAAGATGCGTGTATACAGTGAGGAACTTATTGGGTACTGACTTCCTAAGCAACTCCCTGGAGGCAATCCACCTGCCAATCTCAGGCAAAAGAGCTGAAAACCAAAGCAACAGCTACCAACCATACCATTAAGTACCTACCAAGAAGATTTAAAATGTTAACATAAGTAAAATCTCACAATCAAGCCCAGTGACCTTGAGATTCCATTATACTCACTTTAGCCATTAATTCAACACTGTAAGGAAAAATTTAAGACTCAGGAATGTGCGAGATTATCTGAAAGTCCTGTCAATGAAAGGCTACTATCTCAAGTCATTATCTGATCCTACCTGGGTGTATGCCTTTGTCATGACTAGGCCATTTCATAATTCTGTAGAGAAGCTTATAGAAAACTGTTAGCAGTGTAAACAATTCTTGTCCATAAAAATGGCAAACTATTATCCTAAAGATAGCATGTATTTATTTTCACATTTCTTCCCAGGTCATAGATTTACTATTCTTTGGGTTTTCCTGTAACAGTTTGCAACATCTTTTCCAGTTCCCTCCTTAATTTTCTGAGTTAAACAAAATATTTCATGTTTACTTTATTATCTGCATAATTACCAGGAGTTTAGCTTTGTAAAGACCATCTTTGGGCAACAGAAATAACCCCTCTACACAATCTCACTTTGAAGAAGCAACTTGCAGAAGTTCAATCTGTTAAAACATTTCACTCCAAATGCCTTAAGAGTTTCAGTAAGTGATTAACAACTCAACTGGCAAGGGGAAACCCATAAGGAAACCTTTCATTCAGAAAGAAAAGTCCTGAAGGCCCCTTGGGACAAACTGGGAGATAAAGCCAAAACCTTGCAATGGCCACAGGAATACCCAAAATGTCCCGTGGGCCCCTTGTCAGACAGGTCCTTCCCAAAGTGAGACTACAGCTCAAAAAAGACTGGAAAGAATGGCCAACAGAGTTACAAAGAGGAACAAACCAAAAGCTAATGTCCCCACTGCAAGCTGAGCCGCTCCAACCTACAGAGGGCGTTACACACCAACCTCAGTGCTCCCGCCCTAACAGATACCACTCTTAACAGTTCCTGGTTCCAAAGTTACCAAATATAGCAATGGCACTCGGCACCAAGCTCTGTTAGGTGAGGGATCCACCTGAGATCAAAAGCAGTGGGTGCAACAGTCCTTTCGCTACCTGGGCAAATCTGAAAAGCAAAGTCTTCAGAACATGTAGATTACAGCACAAGCACATTCACATTGACTTTATATTTGAACATGTAAAGATCTCACATGAGAAAACCCCTTGACTTATTAATGCCTGGGTAGGCTCAACCCAAGCTTAACACCTGAGCTGAAGCTGAGAGTTCTAGCTGTATTGTAATTTAAGTGCCTGACTCCTCATTACCACACTTGGCCAGACACTCATGTCACCCAGCAGGCTCGTGGCACACGATGAACTTGGGTGAGTCAGACACACTGTGTAAGGCTCCCTCAGGTTTTGGAGGAGGCTAGGAAGTGCTAGGTTCTGCCAGGTCCAGAGCTCTTGAACCACGTGGCCCTGCTATACCTTGGAGTCAAATGACTGGCCAGGAATCAGTGTCCTAGTCAAAGCCAGAGGTACCCAAAGGCTGCCTGTGAGGTGACCCAACAAAGGCAGCTAAGTTGGCAGTGCTGGAGAAGCAGACCCCTCTAATGAAACCACATGCCATATGTGCAATATCAGACTTTCACTCACCTTATCTAGTGGGATAACTGAAAATACTGCTACTGACCAACTGGAAAGCATGCCCACCGACTTCTTCAAGCCAAGTCCACTTTCCAAATAACATGGGGGCTATTAACTTTCAGGAGAGCACAGCCCTGGTAGTACTCACCCTGAGCGCAGGACTACCAGAAACAGGCAGCTCTGAGCCCAGGGTACCTACCCAAAGGATTTAACTGAGATCTCTCCAAATCTCCAAATCACCCAGGCTTGGATGTATGCTCCATACTGAAGCAGAACACCAATGGGCCAGGGAACTAGAAACCTTACACTCCCAAGATTCTAAACAAAGGGTCACCAATAACCCCATAACCTCTATATCCGTGCCCACCTTCCACACAATTCAACTAACACTTATCAGACGGGTACAACTCTGACTAACACTGAATGGAGAAGGTGAACAATCAAGCAAGCAGGAGCTTACCCCTTAGAGGGATGGGAGAGACAAAGATGACTAAAACATAAGGCACCAGCACAAAGCACCCAAGAAGTATAAAGTGGTACAAAATTTAAGAGGAGAAATCTTCCTTAGGAAGTTACGAAAAACTGAAAGAAAGAAATGGCCTTTGAACCAAACCCTGAAGTACATATGACTTATCAGGCAAAGACAGAGGAAAAGGAAGAGCCTTCGAGGTCAAAGGTAATAATGTTAAAACGCACAATCTAGTACAATCTAGCAGCAGTCTGACTTTTCCAGTGCTCTGCAATATAGGAGAAGCATAGGAGGAAACGAGGCTGTGGGCTTCAGGACGAGCAGCACAGCCTCTTCTCTGTACATCCCAGGTCCAGTACCTAGTTCTCAGCAGCTGCTACAGATGTGTTAAGAGGTTTGGATGAGGCCCCCTGAGGGCCACAGTGTAAGAGCATTCAGAAAACAGCACATATCACTTGGAAGACAGGCAGAGGGCAGCTGCAACCCCCTGGTTGTGGAGAGAGCCTAAAAGAAAGCACGGTCAGTCAAAGGGAAGAGTCAGCTCTGAGAACATTCCAAAGGTGGAATCAACAGGACCTGGCACAAAACCTACCGGGATAAACTTACACAAGTGAGTAAGCAATTTCAGACACAAAGTACTAAAGGAAAACAGTCTTATATGAGGCAAAAGATACTCCCTAAAGTGAGCAGCTAAGCCTTCAATTAGGCACATGATGATTATGCTCAATAAGCATATGGATTTGAGTTAGTTATCCTGTTCCCAAAATCTGACTCACCTCCTACCACCTGTAGCCACATTTCTGGCCATACCAAGGGCCTGATACAGACTGGGCACTCAATAAATACTGGGTAAACAAATAAAATGATTAAGTCAACGTGAAAGAGCAAAAAATACAGCATCCAAGTAGTGTTGCATCTCAGGAGAGCTTGGTAGGGGAAAGGGATGCAACTAAGGTTGGAGTGAGGTGCCCCCAAAGACCAATGCACATCTCTCCAGAATTGTCTGGTAATTTCATAGAATAATGTGGCTGTAATCCTGTATCTTGGACTCTAGCCTAGGGCAGGGACTTGTAGATTTTTATTTAACCGAATCCATAATAATGCAAAGGTCAAAGAGATTTGTGCCACAAAATATTAATGAAAGTAAATAATGAAAATCAGGATATGGGCCTGTATAGATTTCATTAACCTGTCCCATTAACTATTCACTTTATTTTCAAGGATTTGGAAATGTTATCCTATTATCCCAGTTTTGCAGCTAAGCCACTAATTCCCAAATGTAGAGCTAGAATACACATCTTATATTACCTGTATGAATTCTACCACTTGGAACATGTCACACCAGAACACGGCAGTGGTGGAACCTGTGGCAGGGCAATACAACAGGAGTCCTGAGGGCGTGGAGGGTCCTGAGCTATTCCTTCTACACAATATGCTGAGCCACAGGTTACAAAGGCACTCGCCCCACCCACTTAACCAAGCAATTTGAGGATCAAAATTCATCTAGCTACACAGAATAATTTTGCACAGTAAAGAATTGCCAAATGTAAAGAGCTACACTTCCCTAAGGGAACAAAGACAAACGCCAATAAAGCTAAGAAAATTCCACCTAAGGGCTGAGATATTCCATTTGGCTCCCAGAGTACTATAATTAAGATAATTGGCCACTAAATCCAGTCAAGTGAAGAGACTCGGCTAACAGCACCACACCAGATGTTTAACAAACAAGCTGGTGACGATCTTAGAGCTCACAGACTAAGAGACTCATCTCCACACCTCCAAACTTCAAAGAACAGCAACCTCCACACTTCCAGAGTCCACCCGACCCTGTCAAAGGCAGGAGGTGTAAAGTAAAGCTTGGGTCTTCTTTGACTGTCAGGAGGATACACTAAAGAGAGGATGCACGCTAAGCTGAAAAAAAACTCCTTGGAGTGAAATTTCAAAGCAATCTTCAAGTCGGTTCCTCAGAGGCTTCCCAGGACGGTAAAGAAAGGGAAGACCTTTCAGCAGCCCCCAAACTCACCCATGTGCATTAGCTGACAAGGAAGCCACACGGCAAGTACCTTCCAGCCCCACTCTAAACACAGATACCACCAGATTCCACTTTGCATACTGTTATCCAGCTAGACAAGGAGCCTTTATAAAGCTCACCTTCTAGGAGTCTCAGCCCCCAACTGATCCTACATCTAAAAGACTTTTTAAGGAGTAGAGAGGAAGGGGGTTTAAAGCCGCACTAAGTGCGCACACTCCGCTCTCACGCAACCCCTGCCCTTCGAGGAATTAGGCGCTCCCCGGTAGCGCCCAGAGCGCACAACCCGAGCCCATCTTGCAAAGCACAAGCACACCCCACACCCGGAGCTGCTCACTTTAACGTGGTTCTCCACCGCCGCGCGGCCCGCCAGCTTCTTGGCCTCCTCAGCCTTGGACATCGTGGAAGGAGCCGGGAAGACACTGTTCGCGTCCCCGCTGCTAGTGCTTGTACTACTAGTGCTGCCGTAGGTACCGGACTGTGAACACCCAGGAGGCTGCACGTGGGAACCCGGGACGCCCCAACGGTTCCCGCCTCCACCAGAGGCCGCGCCCCCGGCCCGCCCGGGCAGCGGGGCCAGGACCCGCCCGTAGAGGGTGCTGAAGGGCCCCGGGCGCTGCATCCCGACGCCTCTCTCCAACCTCCGCCACAGCCCCGCCCCCGTCTCCTCCGGAAGTCTGGTCTTTACGCACACGACCCGCGCCCAGTGAAACGCGGGTCTTGCTGGGAAATGTAGTTCTAGAGCTTAGATAGCCTGAAGCTGTATCCTAGGTTGAACTACGAAGCCCACAATGCTTGGTGTCTAGGTTCACAAATTGTCGGCAACTGGCTTTTGCGTCGTCAGTACCGCCCAAGTAGTGGCGGCTCCCTAGGCCAAGGAGCAGTGTTCCCGTCGCGCTTGGGTGGATCCCAGGAATTTTTTTCTTTTCTTTTTGGTCTGCCCCTACTTGGGTTAGAGACCCCGCCCCCTGTTCGTGTTTCCCCTCAAGTAAGAATGTGACGACGAACAGGAGCGCAGGGTAGTCTGTAGACATGGCGGCCTTCTTGCAAGTGACGTCTCGAGACTCTTCCCAGGAAAATGCAGTGTGAGCTGTGGCGCCCTTTGGAGTTTAAGATACAGTTCTAAAAGTTTCACAACCTCCCAGCTTTGAACGTTTTCTTGCATTTAAAAAGTTGATGCTTCGTCCTGATGGATCCTGACCTCAGAATAGACCGGAAGATACCGCAGTCTTTGTTGTCTGATAAGGACTGTTTGTTGAACTTGACTTTTTTTTTTTTAACCTTTAACTATAAAGTATCATGAAGTATAGAGAGCATGCCTGAGAAGAGTCTCACTGGTCACGATTAAAGGCCTAGAAAAACAAATGCCGTTCACAGCAGTACCAACTGTTTGGAGGTTCTTAAATAGGACCCATGTGCTTGCCCATGTTGGAATTCCTCATGTCTTCCCATGAACTCATCTCCAAACTCCAGGCCTCCCTACTCCACAAGACACCCCTATGGGCCACTCTTGTCACCGTCATCACCTGGATTTGTTATAGGGCAGGGAGAGAGGGGCACCGGTGAAGCCCAAAACCTGCCTGCTCTAAGTGGGTTCTGCCATTCGCCGCATCAAGACAAACCATATAAAACTTTAATGAAAAGGGACTTTAATACAGTGAATACACAATACGGAACACAAAGAATATAACTTCTAAATCAAACACCTGAAGTTACCCATCCCCCTTGTGGGCAAAAGCCCACCCAAAAGGGATTGGCCCAAAGCAAGGCCTGAAAGCTGCCACAAGACTAAAGCACCTTCTGACCGGGACCCATGGAAAAGGGTCAGAAATGGCCAAACAAATCTGGGAGGAAAAGAGCAAAATCAAAATCAATATAAACACTGCCATAGTCACCTCCCTACAGGTATCTCACCCACATCTGTCTTAACCAGTCCAGAGTCAGGAAACAAGCACGGTTTCTTCCTCACAGGCTTGCTGCTCCATGTGGCTTCCTCAGGTCTCCTCCTCCTTCTCCATCCAGCTTCCTTCTCTTCTCCTTTGATTCCTTCTCTTCTCTCCTTTTTCTCTGCTCAGCTCCACCCTCCTTCTGGTTGGGGCAGGGAACCTGGAACTTTCCCTTTTCCTAGGGACCACCCTGTTACAGATTCTCTGCTGTAACCCCCGAAACTGTCAACCCATTTATCCCCATCTTAATCTGCTGGGGGAAAAGTTACTTGAGGTAACATTTGAGTCCTGTGTTTTACACAGAACTGGGAAATAATAAAATTCTGCTTAAAATGCTGAACAAAATGTCTAGGGCCGGACAATTGCTGTGACTGTCCAAGGCAAATATATGACCTTGTCTGCATTTTCTTGGGGCAGTCTTTCACCATTCTTTCCACAACACTACTCAAAGGTCAATGAGCCAATTCCCTCCAGTTTCTGACATTTACACTGGGGCTTCCCACCCCCTTCAATGTTCTGTTGCCCACCTGAACATTCCTATAATCCACTCTGTTTTATCCTTCACTTAGCTAACTTCTTGGTCTTTCAACCCATGTAAAGTAAATTGGCTCCAACCATCCTTTTTACCCATTCATTGTTCGAACTTTTCTTGATCATTTACCCTCTCTAGAAAGTAATGTTTTGGAGAAGAGGGACTTTGCTTCTCTCCCCGTACCCCACCCCCCACCTTGTAAGGAGGGCCCACCCCCTGCTCATCCTTCATGTGTATGACAACAGAAGGTTCACAACAAATACCTAAAGTAGATTAGGTAACAGATTTTATGCCTCAACTCCATTCTCTTTTGTAATATGTTTTCCCAGTCTGTGGGTTATCTTCTAATTCTCTTTAACAGCAGGAAAATTTAATTTTAATGAAATCCCGCAGATTGAATCTTTCTTTCATGGATTATATATGCCTTTGGTATTGCATCTAAAAAGTCAATCCAAGTCTTGAAGCTTCCCATCAGCATGGCCACCCATCATGCTTCAGGCTTGAGGCAGCTGAACAGCAGCAGCTGGCAGAGGAGCTGGCAGAGCTCTGAAGAGGTCATGCCACTGATCCTGCACAGAGTTCAGCTCACCGCCAAGCTTGCCGTGGTGGGACTGCTGACATTCCACAATGTGGTCATGGAATTCTCTTCAGAAGGAGTAGGAATTCCTAGGGGTTTGTACAGGGATGAGAATTAGGGAAACTTAGTCTCATGGGATATCATTATATCTAAGCAAGACCTTTTGGAACAAAAGAAGAAACTTTGGGAGGTAAGAAGAAAGGACATAGTAGTTATATCTCCTGGTTTTCACCAAGAAAGAAAAGTCAACACTTAAGATGAGATCCTAATAAAATAATAATAATAATAATAATTACAAAATGTACACGTGGGAATCATGTAAAATGAAACAGGCTTTTCAAAAACCTCAAAGTTCTCATTTTTCAGAGAAAAAAATGGTTTCTTAAGTTTCTACTTTTTACACATTTCCTATTACCCCAATATGTAAGGTTATTTTGTATTGTCCCCTAAATATTCACTAGGACCAAAAATATAGACAGTGCTATCTATACCTTACATATTTTATGAATACCTTTAATTTTCAAACCAGAAGTCTTTAACTGTTTATCCCCAGATTGGCACTGTTCACTAAAAAGAGATATTACTAACTATTCTTTCACATGATGCTCAACTTCCCAGGTTGGCTCATGCAATATGTATCAGATAATACAGCCACAAGTAATGTTAAGGGGCTCCAAATTTTCTAGCACCCTACAAAATTTAACACAAATTTCGTTCTGTCAAATCAGTGTGAGACAGGAAGTATCCTAGGACAGGGGCAGGACAAGATTCAAGGACAAAAATTTTGCTGTTCTTATGGAATGGTAAACAAGAAGTTAAAAAACAAAACAAACAAAACAAAAAAACTGATAACTAAGTCCAGACACTTACTGCCCTAAATTTCCTTAGGCCATTTTTTTCTTACAAATTTTTCCTATTCCTGAGCTGTCTTTTCACCACTTATTAAGTTGGCTGCTATGGGAAACAAGTGAGTTACAGACCCAGAGGAGTCACAGACTTTGACACCAGACACATTCAAATAGGAGCTTTGGGCACACAGCCTCCATTAGATGTTCATCTTGGAGATGGACATCTTGGAGATGGTCAGGAGCCCTCCTTGACCACCAAGCTGTAGCTGACTGATGCCCACAATTAGCAACAATAAATGGATTTTAGCCTCCTCTACTCTCCTCGCTTTTTCAGAACAGTGGTTTAAAGCACAGCACTACAAAGCTATCTGTAGCCACAGCAGCGTAAGTTCGATTCCCAGCCAGGGAGGTGACCTACATGGTGCAGCAGACCTCTCCTGTCTTGCCCACTGCTCCCCTCAGCAGTGTATTTCAGTTGATCTGCCTGTTCTGCTCCCATTCTGTCTCTGGTGACTTCTCTCACTCTCCCACTGGCCTGTACCCCAGTTCTTATATGCATAAATAAATCTTAAAAAAAGAAAGAAAAGTCTCCCGCTCCACGGCAAACATGCCTTATTATCTACAAGGACCTTGCCTCCCAATTTTCCCTAGCCTAATGGAGTAACTGGTGAAGCTGAATATGATAAATATCATTTGCCCAAAACAAGTAGATTTAAGTGGCCAATTCAAACCTTTACCCTAGATTCCACATTTATTCTTACTGGCTTTGACTTTTCTAAGGAAAGGAAGCTTCTCTTAGGGAGAATTTCAACTTAGGAAATACTTCACTTCTGAGTGACAAAAAAACCAGCTCAAACTGAGTCCAGTCACAAAGGAATTGACTGATGAGCAATTTGGAAAAACGAAGAATTGGAATTTAAAACATTTGTCAGCAATTTTCACCCTGGATATTTTACACAAAACAAAGGCAGACTGATTTAAAATGCTATTCTAGTTAAATAATATAAGCAACATTATGAAAATGGGTAGCATCATGAAAATGTCTATATGTTTCACTACAGAGGATAAATTTAAATAACCAATAAACAGGAACCATTTGCAATGAATGAATGAGCAAATTCCAAGGTAGAGTTTTAGGAACAGCCCTCTTTCACTGTAGCCAATTAATCACTTTCTACCCTTACATTTTATCCCCTTTATAATCCTTAGGCTCAATGGTTGTCTTTCTGTGCAATGGTACTTCCTTGGTTCAGGCATTTACCAATTGTGTATCGCTTGCAACAGCTTCATAATGTCTCTCCCTTTCCATGGCCCTTTCAGCTCCCTTCCTTTGCCATTAGAGCATTAAAAAAAAAAAAATCAGATTATGTTATCCTTGGTTAAATCTTACAAATGGTCCTCCATGGCTTTCAGTGTAAGTCCCAGATTTTTTTTAAGATGTGCAGGGTTTTCATGAACTGACCTTTGTCCTCCCATAGCATCTTTCCTCAGGAACATCCTCACCACCTAATAGCCATCATTGTCAGCAACAAAGCTTCCCTGATACACCAAGTGCTGTCCTGTCTCCATGCCTTTGCAAAAACTGGTGCCTCCGTCTAAATGTCCTCTCCACAATTCCTTCATTAAAGTCCCTGCCTTAATCTTCCTCTGGCTCACTCCTTCTCATCCACTAAAACTCAGTCTAGGCCTCACTGAATAAACTTATCCCAGTGCTACTTTTCA